AAAATAACCAAGAAAAGCAAAAAATGTTTAAGATCTGTATTAAGAAAAATTCAAAATGTTTTCTGGCTGAGGAATATAAAAGGCGGCTTGACTACATGAAAAGACAACATTTGTTCTTGGTTAGAAACAGCAGTATCATAAAAATTGCTCTATAAATATAAGAAGATTTGTTTCAGGTTAGGCAAACTGATTTTATATATACACAAGTCTATTTATACTTTGGAACTAAAAAAGTTGATCGTAAAATCCATATAAAAACTTAAGCACAAGACTATCCAGGATGATTCTGAAAACTGTGGGATAATAGGGAGAGAATAAGCCCAATCCAACAGTAAAATATACTACAATGTTGCAGCAATGACAACAGTGCAATCTGGTGCATTAACAGTCAGATGAAACAATGGTGCACAGATTCAATCCAAAAACAGACTGAAACATAGAGCTTCTAAATCTAAGGGTACATGAGGTAGAATGGAAAAGGGTCTGTTCTCAGAACAAGTACAAGAGGTGCTCTCAGATATTCTACAAAAAGGCCCACAAGAGTGGCTGAAAAATCAGATCACCAATTCGCAATAATGTCTCATTGGAAGTTTAAAGAAAACTCACTTCTGTCAGGATGACATCATCATCCAGGTCCTCTTCTTCATGTTGCTGAGGAGCTGGGGTGACCAGCATTGGAATCCCTTCCTCATCTGAGGAGTCAGATATGGTGATAGGCCCATCTCTGAGATTGATCCACTCTACAGGAAAGCAGATTAACACTGTTACTGGGAGGCTGGCACTATCATATCCAACCCTTTAAGTTTGTCCTGACAAGGGTACAGCCTAAAGCCAAGTTCATGGCTACTAGTGTGTTAACTCCTCAAGCAGTCCATGCACTTAAGCATTAACAGCCACATTTCTATGCTGACTTTTGTAAATAACACATTTTGGGAACTGCTAGAGAAGATCTGACAATTACTATGATAAATATTATCAACTTTTTCTCATGCTAGGCTGGAGAAATCTGTTCATAACATTTTCTTGACTGCGAGTTTCTTTAAAGTAAAATAATGGTCTCCCAATCCACCTCTATTCCTCTGAGGAACCAAAGGCTATTTTATTTAAATTGCTTGGTCTGAAAAAATTATCATGCAAAAATAGTAAAATTTTAATTATTTAAAAAACTGAAATTTGTTCACCTTAAACATGAACTTTAAGAATCATTTAAGCAAACGTATTTCAATGCTTTAGTCAAGCACCCATTTAGCATCTACGACAGTGAGCAATTTAACTTTCCTAGTTTCCTTTTAAATATATACTATAAATCTAGATGTAGTAATTCTATTCAAGGTTTTTACTTCCTTTTATCAATTTGAAAACAGGTCGGGCCGGGCATGATGGCTCACGCCTGTAATCCCAGCTGAGGTGGGTGGATCACGAGGTCAGGAGTTCAAGACCAGCCTTGCCAAGATGGTGAAAGCCGGTCTCTACTAAAAATACAAAAATTGGCCAGGCATGGTGGCAGGCGCCTGTAATCCCAGCTACTCGGGAGGCTGAGGTAGGAGAATCGCTTGAACCCGGGTGGCAGAGACCGCAGAGAGCCGCAATTGTGCCACTGCACTCCAGCCTGGGTGGCAGAGTGAGATTCCATCTCAAAAAAAAATAATAATAATAAATAATTAAAAGAATACAGCATGGTCTACAAATCAAGTGTACAGTTCTATGAATTAATACAAAAGGGCCGTCTGTGTATAATCATCATCACAAGATCACGAAATATTTCTAGCACATTAGTAGCTTCCCTATGCTTCCCTTCTCCCAATCTCTGCTCTTTTCATCCCCAAAGGGAGGATTTCTAACTATGCAGATAAGTTTTGCATGTTTTTGAGTACATATTCTTCTCTGCTTGGCTTTCTTGCAAATGATGTTTGATATATATCCATATTGGATGCTGCTGTAATACTTTGCTGTATACAATACACTATATGAAGATAACATAAATTATTCATTCTTCTGTTGACAGATATTTGAGTATGTGGCAGTTTAGGCCATTGTAGATAACGCTATTATGAACATTCTTGTGCAAGTCTTTGGTATACTCATTTTAGTTGGATATATTCTAGGAGTGGAAATGCTGAGTCACGGAGTAAGTATATGCTCCATTTTAGTAGACAACACTAAACAAATTTTCCAAATTGTACCAATTTACACTCCCATCTGCGGTGTAGAATAGTATGTTGCTTCACTTCCTTACTGGAAGGCAACAATGCACATTCATGTATATATTGTCTATAGCTGATGATATGCTTTGGCTGTGTCCCCACCCAAAATTTCATCTTGAACTGTAATCCCATAATCCCCACATGTCAAGGGCAGGACCAGGTAATCAGATCACGGGGGCAGTTTCCCCCATTCTGTTCTCGTGATATTAAGTCTTGAGGTATATAACGATTTTATAAGCATCTGGCATTTCCCCTGCTTGCAGTCACTCCATCCTGTCTCCTGAGAAGGTACCTGCTTCTCTTCTGCCTTTCGCCATGATAGTAAGTTTCCTGAGGCCTCCCCAGCAATGTGGAACTGTGAGTCAATTAAACCTCTTTCCTTCATAAATTACCCAGTCTCAGGTATTTCTTCATAGCAGTGTGAGAGCAGACTAACACAGTTGCTTTCATGATACAATGGTATAGCTGAATAGTTGCAACAGAGACCACATGGCCTACAAGGCTACAGTATTAACTACTTAGCTCTCTAAATTTGCTGAGCCCTGGTTGTGCCTATTAATTTCTCAGCCTTTCTTCTTCCTTTTTTCCCCCAGACTGGGTCTTGCTCTGTTGCCCAGGCTGGAGTGCAGTGGCGCAATCTCGGCTCACTGCAACCTTTGCCTTCTGGATTCAAGTGATTCTTGTGCCTCAGCCTCCTGAGTAGCTGGGATTATAGGCTTGCAACACCATGCCTGGCTCATTTTTGTAATTTTAGTAGCGGTGGGGTCTCCCCATGTTGCCTAGGATGGTTTGTTTTTTTTTGCGACAGGGTCTCTTTTTCTCTGTTGCCCAGGCTGGAGTACAATAACATGAATATAGTTCTCTGCAGTCTTGACCTTCTGGGTTCAAGTAATCTTCCCATTTTGGTATTCCAAGTACCTGGCACCTGGTTGACCCAGGACCACCATGTCCAGCTAATTTTTTATATGTAATTTTTTTTGTAGAGATGTGAGTCTCACCATATTGCCCAGGCTGGTTTTGAAATCCTAGGCTCAAGTTATCCTCCCACTTTGGCCTTCCAAAGTGCTGAGATTACAAGCATGAGCTACTGTGCCTGGCTGAGCTTTACTTCTTGTCTAATGTATTTTAGGCCATAGGTTTTCTTCAAAACATGGCATTAGATGTATCTCATAAATGTAATAGACTATATTTTCATTATCGTATCATTCAAAATATTTCCTAATTTTGATTTCTTCTTACATTGGGTATAGAATCCCACATATGTTTATTACATTTGTTGACCATGTTCTTCCAATCTTCTATATTCACACAAGTGTGTGTGTGCTTACTTTTTCAGTTACTGAAACAAGTCTTACAAATCACTACTATAATTGTGGATTTGTCCAATTCTGTTTTTAGATCTGCCAATTTTTGCTTTGTATAGTTTTATATCATGTTACTAAGTATACAGGGATTAGAACTACTTTATCTTCCAGTACAATGAATCTTTTATCATTATGAACTCTATCAATGCTTCTGGCTGGAGTTTCTATCAGTTTTATCTGATATTACACAGAGATATCAGCTCTTTTTTTCTTTTTGGCTATTTGCATGATGTACCTTTTTTCATTCCTGACAAAATTTAAAAAAATCTTTATGGCCGGGCGCGGTGGCTCAAGCCTGTAATCCCAGCACTGTGGGAGGCCGAGGCGGGTGGATCACGAGGTCAAGAGATCGAGACCATCCTGGTCAACATGGTGAAACCCTGTCTCTACTAAAAATACAAAAAATTAGCTGGGCATGGTGGCGTGTGCCTGTAATCCCAGCGACTCAGGAGGCTG